GAAGGAAAGAAGGAAAGAAGGAAAGAAAGAAGGAAAGAAAGAAGGAAAGAAGGAAAGAAGGAAAGAAGGAAAGAAGGAAAGAAGGAAAGAAAGAAAGAAGGAAAGAAGGAAAGAAAGAAAGAAGGAAAGAAGGAAAGAAGGAAGGAAAGAAGGAAAGAAGGAAAGAAAGAACAACAACGATGATAATTTTTAAAAAAGCAGAACAAAAACAAAGATAGACAGTATCTTTCCCTTTTTCTCAGCTTATCGGATACTGTACAGAATAAAGTTGGTTAATTCTCAGGTCAGACCTTCCTCAGAACTGCACAGAGAGATAAATAGTGGTGAATGCCAGTTCAAAACATCTGGCACCTTTTCCAGGAATAAAAAATAAACCATGACCATTGAATACTGGAAATGAAGTTCAGTTCATTTGCAATGGCGAGACTGAGGTACCCTTAATGGTACTGTGGTTTGGAGAACACTAACAAATAAAGCCAGAGAAGATATGTGGGATAAAGCTCATGTCTTTTCCTGGAAAATCTTTCTATTTGCCAGGAAAAGATGGGAACAAGATTTACCAAAGGCAAATTCTACATCTTTAGGTTTGGTGACATAGACATGCATTACTCCTTATCTAATTCTCCTTGCATTTATTGCATACTCTTTCTCTAATCAACTCTTTTTCTACCTGCTTGCTTTTTTTCTTTTAAGGATAAGTTTAGGAGCAGACCCACAAGTGAGGACACAAAATGTTCGTCCTTTAGCTCTTCTGGTTATCAAAAAGGAATGAGCACTTGCTCTTTGGAAATCAAAGCCTTGTACATTCTGTTGGACTCCAGAAGATAAAGACATCCAGAATCACCAGTTGACTTCAGTAAGATCACTCATTTGCTCTGCACCGAATAGGATAGAGATAATCCTTTACTCATTTTTGGCCTATTCCTTTCGCATCTTGCTGAAAATTCTCCTTCTCTCTGATTAATCACTTGCTCTTTCCCCAAGCTCATCTCAGGAATCAAAATGAAAATGATAGGGTACATAAGGAAGACAGAAGGAACTTACCTAGTATTCAGTTAGCCATAATATGCTTCACAAATGCTAGAAAGAACAGAAACAGAAGGATCATTTATCAATTTCCCTTCATTAAACTCAACAGAGGTCTCAGTACCTCTGATCAGCTTGGCTGTACTTTAAATTCATTTCCCTTGCCTAGCCTGACGCAATGAAGACAATGTCACTTTGTAAATATGATTCCAAGCACTTCAGTGCTAAAACGGTTAGAAATCCTTAAATAATATTTATACAGTGTAGGATATACATCAGTCTAGGTAGGCAGTGGAAATAAACACACCCTAAATTTCCACAATGGTAATGTGATGGACTAGGCATCTTTGTTCAGTGCTTGTAGGATTCTTAGGACTCCAATGAGGATCCTAAGGGTAACTCTTTTAGGTCATTTTTTTTAAGTAAAACAGTGATTTCCAAGACAATTTTTAGCATTTTTGGAAGACCAGAAATTTTTACTAAGGAGTAAAAATAAATCAAAAATAAAAATAATTATATAGAGCATGATAAGAATGACCCAAACAGCATCTTTGAAAGATTCATGGCCTATATCAGGTGTGGGAAGTACAAGTTGCCTTGTAGAAATTACCTTGTTACAGTTAAGGAGTCTCAGGGAGATTACAGAATCTGAATTGCTCTAAAATTTGCAGAAATTTCATATTCTGAACTTTCGGAGTGAGACTTTCCTTGGAACTCATAGAATAGCTGGAACAAATTCTTCAGTCACGTCATACCTACCTTCATAGTTGATACAACCATTGGCATCTTCCTGACCAGCCATTAGTTTATCAACTTCCTCTTCAGTCAACCTCTCACCTGCATGGAAAAGCAAAATATCTCTTCAATAACTTAATACCTGAAATTTTTTTCTTCTCTTTTTTTTTCTATTTTTTTTTCCTAAGAATTTTAAAATCAATAAATATCAAAGAATAACAAAGAGAGGGAAGAGAGACAAAGTTTTGCTCTTCAGTTCAATTTGTGGTGCTGACTGCTAGAAAAGTGACTTTTCAACTTTCAGACTAAGAAAATTTGATCTGAAAACCATGAAGAAAGTATAAACAAGGAAACCCACATGGTATCATGTTCACATAGTCATTCTTCTAAGAAAAAACTTACTTTAAATGCCAAACATGAAGACTTTAGTCATTTTTGACCAAGTCATCACTAAGCAAACTTTCTGTTAGGTCACCCTAAAGTCTGCCTCTGAGTTTCAGCTCAGAGCTTCAGGTTCTGGAAAACTCTAAGATCAAACTTAGGAAATCTGCTTAGGATATGATCCACTGTATTTTATGTGATCCATTTAATTGAATCATATAAATATTAGGTACCTCTTTAAGGCAGAGATATCAATCCAACCCCTTGTGCCCCACATGAATATTAAGATGGGATTAATTGCCTTCCAGAAGTGATCAGGATAAATGTTAAGGTGATATCAGTTGAAATCATTAAAAAAAAATCTGGTGTACGCTGCTACTTATGTTATTCCACTTTTTTATTTCTGACATACGCAAGGGCAAGTCCTCAGCTTATGTGAACCTGTGACAATTTAACTGCATTTTTGAAAAGTGAACAGAAAAGTATGCCAATTTACAGAATACTTGACTGTGTCTAGGATTTGGCCAGTATTTAGGAATACTAATCTAAACAGCACTGCTAACTCTTTGGATGTAAGTACTGCTTATAAGTGCTTGAAAATCAGTCACTGATGTGCATTTGTCTGAGTTACTGGAAATAAAAGGACAAGCACAGAAGTGTTTTTTGGTAGTACAGTGAGAGTCACAAAACTGACCAGTGTGATTTCTTTGGCCAGGATAAAGTTAGATGGTCCATCTGACATTGTGTGTGTTTGTGTCCTTATTAAATTTGGTCCCCAGACTGATCCAATAGCATCAATGAAAATAGGCATTACTGTTTTCCTTATTTTTAATGTCATAAATTGAGATGCATGTGTCATGGAACTGAAATCCCTAAACATAAAACATTTGGATTTTGGAAACCATATCCCAGGTCAAAACTCATCTCTGGAATCCTTTGGTCTAAATTAAATCTCACTTTTTATAACAGCAGACAAGCAGTAGTAGAAAAGGCTGATCTTGAGAAATGCTTACTGGATTCAGATGACAAAATGTCAGTGCCTTATGATCCAAACTGGAAACCTGTTATTAAGTTACAGCCAATTTTTTTTTTGTCCAACATTCATGCTACTGTCATCACTCTCTGTGAAACATCGAGCTTCTCAATTCAGAATTTGAGAGCAGGCAAAAATATTGATTCCTCCTTTTAAAACAGAGTTTATCAATTTTAGAGACTACTGCTAAACAAACAACTAATAGAAAAGCATCTCATCTTAAAGCTTTGCTTGAAAATTCAGGAAAAATTGAAGAGAAATAGTGAAGAGAGAATTGGGTTTCCCACTGTATGTATAATACTCTGTTAATAGAAATATAATATTTACTGGAGAAGTGAAATTCCCGAACAAGGACTGAGGAAAGGAAGGAAAAAAGGGTGGGAGGAGAAAAGACAAACAATGTTGGTGCTTTAAGTCTTTAGCCTCATTATTAAAGAAATTGTCAGTCCTGACTACCAAGAACAACGTGATGACAGAAATCTTGCCCAGTCCTTCTCTCCATAAAGGTGCTTTATATCACTCAGCATGCTATAGGTTATATGGGAAAGACTTCACTGAGGGCATCGTGGTGGGGAAAGGTTGACCTTACCCAGTGTAGCCAAAACGTGGCGAAGCTCAGCCCCCATCACAGTTCCATTGCCCTCCTTGTCAAACACACGCAGACCCTCCACAAAGTCCTCATAGGTGCCGGTGTCTTTCGTCTTGGCGATATGCTGGAGCATAGGCAGGAAGGTCTCAAAGTCAAGCATCTTAGAGGTCATTTCTGCAAAGACACAGATTGAAACAAAAGTCTGGGTGAGTTGCAGGATATCTGAGAATTAACCATGGGACATCTACAGAGGATTGGTGGCTAGAAGAACTTTGGTCAAAAATGCCAGCTAGAAGGAATGAGCAGAACATAGGAGTATTGGATGTAGAGACGGAGAAAAATCCAGCCAGAGCGGGTACAAGAGCTCCGGGAAAGAGAGAGAATTATGTGTTTGAATAGACTAATCTGAACCTGAATCTGTCCTGTGGCTGATCCGTGCAGATGCCAAGGAAAATAACAACTGTTAGAGCCCCAAGGCTATTTGAAGTGTTGTAAAAAGATGAAACTAAGCAGAACAGAGAATAAGGGGGCTCATTTTTGGGATGAAGACAGCTCTTGTTTTGCAGGGATGTTGAAAAAAAAAATGGGAGAGGAATTTCAGAGTGTTTAGGGGAGCCTCCTTACCCTGGCAGCACGGGGGGCTGTGTACCCCGTTTCCCTAAATTTTTGTTTTTCAAGATCATGTTAGCTCCTTGTTGGCTATTATCCCATCTGCCACTGTTTCATTATCACATCATGAGATACCATAATTGTTGAATGAGGACCTAGTTCTCAGTTTCCATTAACCTAAATGAAAAAAAAAAAGGTAGGGGAAATCGTCTAGGAAATGCCTCAGTGTAGATGTGGCCTAGAAGAGCTTTCTTTTGTTCCGAGCAGATATCCTGAGTATGGCAAATTTTTAAGAGAGATGCCACTGCAATTACAGGCCCTGTGATAGATATTTTTGTAGAGCAAGCTGAATCCTCAGGTTCACTCAATCCCTCTTGCGCTGTGGACACCTTCAAAAAATCTGAGTCTTTATTAAACACAAGTGAATGTCTGTCAGTCATTAAAAATATTTTAAAAGGTAAGAAATTGTCACTGTAAAATACACTGAAACACAGGGCTGTTAAAAGGATTCATTCTCCTAAAACTGAGTCAATTGTACTGACTGAAGATAAGTTTTTCTCCTATTATGGCTCTGCCAGAAATTCGCAGGGGGCTGTTCCATACCCTCAGTCACTTTACAGTAAATCTTTCCATCAGAAAGTAGGAATCTTATCTTCTTGGCCTGACCAGTAATTCTTGGAGAGCTGCTTTTCAAAACAAACTTGGAGGAGGCCACCAACCTTCTGGTTTGGGTCTGCCAAGCACCTTCATGACCTCAGCTTGAGTTGGATTCTGCCCCAAAGCTCTCAAAACATCTCCACATTGTGCATATGTGATTTTCATCTCAGATTTTGGAGTTCGGTCAAAGAGTGAGAACGCTTCCTTAAATTCTGGAAGACAAAAAGAGAAAAACGGAAGGAAAGAAATGTATATCATACTCTGTTGGATAAAGTCAAAGCAAGCTGAGACCTTCACTCTAATTAACTCAGGCTAACCCTTTTATTTTGCAGTTTGGGAAAAGTTTGATGAGCTTTGTTATTGCTGTTATCTGCAATGTTTGTATTCCTCCTCCCCTGCATTTTCCGTTTCAATCAGGGAGTAGAATCACATAGGTCAAATGCTCTTTTAGTGGTATTTCCGTCTCATCTTGCATCAGGACATACAGAAAACCTCATCCAAATGGTTGACCTTGAGAGCTTTCCAGCTCAGCAAGAGTTCTCATGATGGCATAGAAGCCAATAGCTCTTCTGCTCATTAGCATACTGAATATTTTATTGATTATTTAAAGTTTAGAAAGCACTGACATGATCCACCAAGAGAGAGGAGCACTTCCATTTTTCCTTCTCCTTGGCATATTTCCTTTCTCTCTCCTTCTTCCAGTTTTGCTCTCTCTGCTTTCATCTTTTCACTCTCCTTCTTCCCTTTATCATTCCAATTATACCTTACTAATTTTCTTCCTCATTCAACATTTTCAATTCACTTTATCATTATGGGCTAATTAAAGATTTTCTTGTTTTTTTCTCTACATTGAATCTTTTCTCCATCTCTCTTTCTCTCCCTTCCAGCCTCTCTCTCCTTGCCTCCTCCACGGCCAACCAGATCCCCTGTATCATTCCCAGCAGAGGGCAATAGTGGTGTTCCATGGGCTCCCTGTGAAAAGGAGTGGGCAAGAGCCCCACACCCTGAATTCCTCTGATCCACTCCTTTCCTAGGGGTCTCAGCATCCCAGATGGAGAGGAAGTCTACCTACCACCCTGAGTGGTACATCATTACCTGCTATCTATGTATGCCCTGAGACCTAAACACCCTTCACACCATCTCCTAAAGACTCACAGTTCATCATAGACACTGACAAATTTTCCTCTATCTCTTTTTTTTTTTTTTTTTTTATGTATATTTAGCCATCTCTCATCAGAGCATAAGCCTGTGGGTTGGAAGCTCCATTTTGTCAATATTCAGAAGCAGTCTATTTTTGATTTTTTTTTTTTTTTTTTTTGGTTTAACGTAAGTTTCCACCAAAGTGGCTATGGCCTCCTTTGTCCTTCTGTTAGCCGTTAAACCACTAGCAGGAGCAGTGTATATTTTCATATAACTAATTGCTACCTATGTTCCCATCTTGAACAGATCATGTTCTTCTCCTCAGCCATGAAAGGAGGGAGAGAAGGGCCAGAAATCCAGTTTCATAAATATACTTTGCCACCACCAGAGAATTTCACTTGTGGTCAAGGCTGAAGAACATGAAAAGATGGGTGTGTAACACATGGGTTCATTCTTCCCCTTCTGAGATTAACATTTTGGGGACTGGCATTGAAAGCATTACATTTGCTTCTATCCAGGCAGGGAAGTGAATCTGGCATTGCACAGTTTTTTTTTTTTGTTGTTGTTTTGTTTTGTTTTGTTTTTTTTTGCAAAGAATATCTGACACACAGGATGGACTTAATATTGACCTAACAACCCCAAAACAAGGAAGCAACTAGGTGAGTGGTGAAAGGAAGTTAAAGAAAGAGGTGATTATTATACATTGCATGTCTGTTTTATTTTTATTCTCCATAAAAATTGTATGGCAGGTGATCTGGACCTAGTTACGACTTTAAGAAATAGAGAGTTTGACAAACTAACAGTACAACACTGAAACATCTGTAAAAGAACCAGAAAACAACAGGTTCAGTTGAAGACCAAGAAGTTGAAGTTTGTGAGAGAGAGGACAGAGTGGGAAGGAGAAATATTAATTAAGGAGAAATATATTAAGACATAGTAAAAGACATATTAATCCAGAGCTTCTGTGAGTTCCAGCTCTCATGCCAAGGCAAGTACTGTTGGTCTGTAATCAATGTTTTTAATGCAAAGTAAAACAGTATCAAACACTGGACTATTGATCATCCACGTTTTTATACTGGGAAGGTTTTAACCCATGCATACAAGCACAGAATCATAGAATCATTGAATCCTTAAGGTTGAAAGGGATCTTTAGAGATCATCTAGTCCAACTCCTCTGCATTTGCAGGGTCACTCAGAGCACACAGAGGACAGCCTGTGCCAGTGATAACCCCATGGACAACCCTGGACTATGTAGCAGGCATAATTCTACTCCTGGTTCGCCTAAGCTCTAGCTAAGTATATCTATCTACTATCTATCTATCTACATACTAAGAATATAAGAATCTGAGAACCTTCCAAAGATCAGGTGAAGAAGAAGAGAGCAGAAAAAGACCAGAAGAGATAAAGAAAGACAGCAAGGAACTGAAAGCAGGGTTATGCTTTTCCCCTTGTTCCCCAGAACATGGTAGAGCTGATGAACTAGCCATGGGATGAACTTTACATGGATTTAGTGTCTTGCTACAGTGCTGGCTCACAGCATGACTTTCTCCTATCCTGCTGTGACAAATATGGAAGTGTTATAGTATTTCTCACAGGCATGATATTTGCTGCCCCATAGCACTTTTTTTTTTTTTTTTTTTTTTTTTTTTGATATTTCAGGGAGATTCTCTTCCACAAACACAGGATTACCACCTCTGCTCCTAGTATCCAATGAGGACAGATAGACCAGAAATCAACTGTTGTAAATAAGATGCAACTTGTTGCTTCTAGAGATGACTTACACCATCTCCTGCACTGCTGCTTCATAGGGCAGCCCTTAGGTTGGTGTGAATTGGCCATTTCCTAGCCAAGTCTGACTGATGGCCAGGTAAGCATCCACCATACACTGAATATCCCTTCCTTTTCCCATTCGCTGATATCCCCACTTGAGCTATCTCAAGCTGGGAGGGAGAGAGGAATGAACAAGGCACAGAAATAAAATAGGCACTATTTAATCCCAAAGGCATTCCAGCTGCCCTTTGCTGCTGGAACAGTTCAAAGATTTGTGGCTCAGAAGTGAGCTTTTCCTATGGTTCTCCCATAGCTTTGGAATTGGCAAGGAGTAGATTCACTGAAACAAGCAATTGACTCAAATCATGAGTCATCTTTTGACCTGTTGTTAGAAGACAAAATCTAAAGCCTTGAAGTGGATCTTGAATCAGTCACCAGGTTTGGTGGTCTATGATTTTTTTTTCTTCTGTTCTGGTCAACACATTTTCTTATACTGAGTTTGATAGGCGCTGCCAAGTTCTGCCAAGCTTTTGAACACCAAAGCAAAATTATGCCAGATGTTCAACCCCATCTATCAATTATCCCTAAAGTAAAAAAAAACATCTTGCCAATTGGAAAAAAAGAGGACAGCTGCAGTGGGTTCCCAGGACAACATGCCAGAGGTTTCCATATCAGTTTTCTGGACTGGGACAAAGGGTTCAGAAACTGAAGCTGTTTTTTCTGTTTCAAAAAAAAAAAAAAAAAAAAATCATGACTTTCATTATTTTCTCTTTCCTGGAGATTGGTACAAAAATGCGACAGATTGAATACAGGGAAAACATTTTCAAAGGCAGGGTGGGAAGATGTTCTGTTTGTATTTTATTAGTAAACTTTTTTAAAGAAAGTACGTATTTGTACTAAGGATTTTTATATTTTGTTTGTTTGTTTATTTTTCTCTCATTGCCGGAATGGACCTTGTATTGCCTATAAAGAAACAAATACACTCTACATGGGTTTAATCTCTATGCCGCATGACTTTCCTTTTGACCAGGTCAATAGTGTTTGAAGCAGGGATGAAGGAGAATACTGTTTCATTCTGGTTTAATTAGAGTAAATGAAAATTCCCCTCACCCTTCAGAAGATTATTTGCAGAGTCAAGAGAGAGTTGAGAGATCTCAGGTACTATCTGCATCAAACATTGCCATTCCAGTCTGGTTCGAGGATGATCTGAGGACCTTCCCTCAGAAGACCCAACTTCTTTTCTGTGATATAAAATTTTGAACTTTGTCCATATGAGTAAAGCAAAGGATCCTCCTGCTATACCAACAACTACCTAACAGCTAACTTTTTTCTTAGGACCCAAGGATATATATTAGCAGGTGTTAATATAGAAAGATAGCTGATCATGTTCATATCACAGCCCCTCACTGGACTTTTATGAGTGCTTCATAATATCACTTCTTTCTGCTTTCTTTCCCTAGTAGACAATAAGGACTAGGACAGATGATCCTGTAATATGTATAAATTCTCAGCGATTTAAGATCTCAGAAGGGATCCAAATGTATAGGGGTCACTCACAACACTGAACAGCAGGGCAAGAGCATGAATTAAATTACAATCTTCTGAAAAGAGCACTAAATATCACACGAGTGTCCACACTAACACTTGCCAGCACCTCCCCATGATGGTATTTAGTGGGTAGAGAAGAGAAACAGATCTTCCTCACCTTCAATCTGATCAGGAGTGAATTCAACCTAGAAAAGAGAAATAATAACAGCCAGGTTAAAAACAGAAAAAAAAAAATGTTAATCTCTGTGTTATGATACAAGGTGTTCGTGATATCCACAGAAGAGAATATAGTAACTCTTAAAGCCCCACAAAAATATTTTATGGGGACTATAGATGCCTCTTCTTTTCTCCTCCACCTCCCCTTTTCAAATAACCCCACCTTTAGGACCCCTGCTCCCACCACAAGGCTGCAGATATTCTTTGCCCGTTTTTTTGCTGCCCTCATGTCCATGCTGTATTCTCTGTACCCTATCCCAAGTTCATCATGCCACTGATGCCCCTCCTTGAGATGATTATGGCAGCACCATGGTAAATCCTATGTTTCTTGACTGAAAGGGAATTATCTGAAGACAGATTTGGATCTACTTTCCACAGTAGTTTCCAGTACAAGAACAAGGAGGTATCAAGCAAAGGTGGCAGGACTCAGGCTCAAAGCACATTAAGGATGTGGTTAATCACTCAGCTGAATTGTGTCCTTGTCCTCAATGAGTGGGGCAATAAAAAGAGCTTGGGTAACTAGCGCAGATGCAGATGTCCTTTTCCAATCTGGTGAATCCCAACCAGAGAGCCTGAGCTAGCCTTTTGGAGGACGGTAGGCTGGGAGAAACCAATCCAGAGCAAAATAGGACAAATACAGATTCCCACAGCCAGATCAAAGGCAAGGCTTGGGCTGAAAGCCTGAGCATTCCTCACCTCTAATCAACTGGCCCCTACAAAAACACCACCCGGTAGTGGGAGGCTCTGTGTGACAGCTGGAAAGGTGGTTTGACCAGACCCACTGCCCAGGCAGGGCTTCCTCTCAGAAAAGCAGCACAGATGTGTGGGTGGCAGCTGCTGCTATTTTCTCCCTTCTCCACATATACCACCATGGAACTGGAGGGAGAGAAAAGCCATCATTTACCCAGCCACAAGGTATTACTGAAGGCGGGTGGGATGAGCTCTGCCTTCAGGACATATTTAGATTAAAGGCGATTGGGGTTTTGTTTCCCTTCCTCTCTCTCTAGCAGATACTAGGCTTCTCCATAAATTACTTTCCATAGCAAATGGGAAGTGTTATGCCAACTTCCCTGCTGTTTTAGCAATCTTGGCTGCCAGGAATTATCACCTGGCTGGGCAGTGATATCAGATGTGGCTCTCTTGCTACTGTTCCCTTGCCTAAACCATGACATTGTGCTGGTTGCATTCAAGAAAGACCTGGAGAGAGGCACCCCTTGGAGTTGTTACACCATTTACAGCTTCTTATCTCAGGCAATTTTTGCTCTTTACATACCTATAATATCTCACTCAAGCACGTAACACTCTGTGTGATAAAATGGTCATAACTTAGGCTGAAAGGAGTCCTATTAATAAAACTGTTGCTGGTCAAAATCCAGCAGGTTATGTGGGGGGAAGCAAGTGCCCCCCAGAATGGAAACAATATTCTCTTTTCTTTTCTTCTCTTTTCTTCTCTTTTCTTCTCTTTTCTTTTCTGTTCTGTTCTGTTCTGTTCTTTTCATAATACTCTATGACATGAATCTTACAAACAGTGAGATTTTTCCCTCAGCCATCATGGGGCTAGTTTTGGAGAGGAAAAGAGTTTTGTTCAGAGAGTGATTTAGGAAGCAGAAATGCAGCAGATGGAAAGAGGCCCAGAAGACCATCAAAATCAGTATTACTGTGTTGAGACTGCATTTGTATTCCACAAGCTTTCCCCCACCTGCCTTCCAAAGACTTTTTTTAAACCTATTAATACTCAGAATCCCACCTCCTGTCACTTTCTGTGCAAGACAACTGGGATGCCCATAAGCTCCTCTACTGCCCATGGGCATGTCAAATCCCATTCATCTCCATCACCCTACCACTGTCTCACAGTTGCTCTTGACTTCCCAGACCCTCTGTCCTCTGAATCTCTTCTCTTTTGGCACATCTACATTTTATTACTAGCATTGCCTGAGAGACATTTGGGTTATTTCTAGTTCAGCTCATTATCTGGTGGTAGGAAGGCACTGTACAGCAAGCAGACACTTGACAAAGACATGGGCTGTGACTTGTGATACTACATGCTGCACCACCTGGACTTCATGAACACGAGCTAAAAAATACTGGCATTGTGGAAGATAAAAGCCCAGGCAAAATATTCTGCTATTACTTTATATTTTCAAGAGAGGGAAAAAAAAAAAAAAAGAAAAGAATTATTCCAGTCTGACTTGAAATGGCAGAAAATATATTTTGAAGGGACTGAGTCAAATACAACAATGAACTATTTATGTTTTTTGCAACATTCAACTATAACAATAGTGAAAGTGAAGATACAAATGAACGATTATGTTCAGCTAAACCAGTGAAGTTTTTTTATTCAAAAAAATAAGGCTGCATTTCAAGATGGGGGAACTGAGGCAAAGTCTTGGTCAAGGTCAGGAAGATGATGTTGCTACACAGGGAAACACAAAAACACTTTCTTTTTAACCCTCTTAACAGCCAAAACCTGGTCCCTTAGGTTCTTTCTTTTATTTGGGTTTCCTTAGGTAGGAAGGAATACAGCAGTACATCGCCATTTATTATAATTTTAGAAGAATTTAAGGACTGTAGGCCCCTACTTTTGCCTAGAATAAGGCAGGACCAGCTCTGCCATGTTGTGGTCTTTGATTCATCTGCTCCCCCAAGAACTGAGTGTCAAAGTCTTTTGTGAGAACCTCTGTCTGGTCTGGGCTTAGAGTTGGTTTGGTCTTAGTTGGTTGTTCCCAGCTGGTTGGGTCTCGGAGTCACCCCCATCAGATACTTTCAGGTGGTGCATAATAATAAAGACAATGGGTGAAGAACAATGAAGAGGCAGACTGAGAGATGGAACTGAAGAACCTTCCTGCTCCAAGGAAGGAGTTGCAACATGACCCTGAGCTTAAATCAGGGTAAATCAACTCAGTTGCACTGCAATCCTCTAAAAGCCTGCTTGGCAGACAACCACAGCCTGACAAATCTCCAGGGAGCAGATTCAGAGCAGCAGGGTCTTCAGAGCCACTTGGCACTGATGCTCTGTGCCCTCAGCCAGAGCCAGAATGCTGGGTCAAAGTCCCAACAAGCAGGACTTTGCATTCCTTTGTTTCTTTCTTTCTTCTTAATATCTTCTAGGGCTAAAAGAGCCCAGAATTGCTTTTAAACCTCGGTGTTTTCCCAGCTCTGGCAGGACTGCAGCTTATAAATTGATAAGTCCCTTTCTTGGATGGGGAATGTGTTGCCATAATTTTCCAGAGCAAAAGGGGAAATTCCACAGCCTTGACAAGGGAATGATACAGCCACTCTGGAGAACTGAGATGGTTCCTGGCAAGGAGCAGCACCAGAAATATAAAACACTTTGTAGACTGTCTGTTCTCCCTGTAGCAACACAGTTTTGAATTCTCCAATCATTTATTGACAGTTGGCTTCCCAGTTTCTCTGCAGCCACCCCCCTTTGCCAACCTCAACAGCAGATGTTTGTTCATATGTTTGCAGCCATTGAAGAAGTCATTAAAAATGTTTAAAATACCCTCTGTAAAACGCTGGATGGGAGCCTATGGCACAGAGGATGTCAGACGTTGCCTGTGCTGTTTGCCAGATGTAGACAGTCGTTGGCTTCTTGGATCTCTGAGGAGGATAAGAAGAAACCAAAGGATGACCCTGAAGTCCCCAAGGAGACTTCACTACAACTCTTCTTGGGAACTTATGGGTTTCACACTGCTTGGGTGCTAACCAAGAAAAAGGTCACAGACCTCAACGTGGATAGGGACAGAAGGACTCTGTATCAACAGCAGAGTTGTACCTCTTGGGTCATACTAAGGCATACTAAGGTCATGCTAAGCCAGAATACCTCAAACTGGACAAGGAAAATTAGTCACCAGGCAGTGTGTTTCCTGTATATGATATACGGGAAAGTGCACAAGTCAAACACTTTTGTAATTTGGTAAGCAGCTTCACATCGAGGAAAAAAAGAAGAAAAAAAAAAGACACACTGGTATTATTAGCTATTGTTGTTATTACTCTTGTTGTGTTTACATGAAAGCATTTCCCATTGGCTTTCCAAAATCAGCTGTTCTCTCTTGTAAATACTGTTGAGTTTTCCTTTTATTCTTTCTTTTAATTCAAATATTTTTATGTTGAAGTGATATTTTTCATGAAAAATGATTTAAAGAATCCCACTCCCTCCACATTAGATCACCCCAAAGCATCCCAAAAAACAACTCTTCTCAGACTGAACAAAACCACCCTGAGTTGCCAAAAAAGAATTTTTGTGGGCTTTTCTGTGTCACTGAAACCTCATCCTGAAAATTCAAGCTGATTCCTTCTAATATTTTCATTCCCCTACTAAGCCTAAAAACAACTACCCTTTGCTGAGCTAATTTTGGTCTCAAATGACACAGTTGCGTAAATCCTCCTGGTTGCTAAGTGACTTTTTGGTCATACTAGTAGTGAAGGAGACTGTGTGAAGCACTTGGTTGGCTGGTGAGAAATGAGCTTGACAGGTCTGGGGCAAGACATAGTAAAAATGTCCCTGCAACTCCAAATTTCCTGGAACTGGAAGAGAGTTTTTATGTTGGAGCTGAAGTTGAGGCTCATCCTCAAAAAGATCCCATCATGCAAGAGCTTTTGTGTCTTGCACAGAAAATTTTAAGCCAATATGTAATGTATGCTGTCCCTATCCCATACAGCATCTGCTCCATCAATGTGATACAGATGTCACTGCTCAAGTTTTATTTCTCCGCCATCCACATTGCAACGATTGCCACCTCAATGTGGTCCTGACCCAAGGCAGAGCAACCCTGTTAGGCCCAGGATAACACCGACCTCCATCCCTGCACTCCTTGTGCAGTCCTTCCCAATGCATGCAAGGATAGCAACATAATTCACACCTGCAATAGTCTAAATATCACTCTGCAACTGCCTTAGAGAACAAAACGATGAAGAGATTAGGTTGCCTTCTCCAAAGAGTCACCTCAATAACGCTCAAGCAGCTGGG